AGGATTGGAATGAAATAAACCAGTTTCTTACAAAAACTCAACAGATGAAGACTTCTAATTTAATTGGGGTCTTTCAACATAATACATAGTTGTTTTTATATTTATTTTTTATAATAAATTCGTGATCAGCATCAATAGCCGAGACGATCTAGCCATGTCCGTCCGTCCGTTTATAGTCTTCTGAATACTCTTGAAATAGATTAACTCCTATGAGCCACGGTTTACTCAAAGAATAAGATTTGGTGTTTTAAGTTGGTAGTTTAATTTGTATTTATTTTTGCATGTATAGTTGGAGCAGCTATGATGCCGCTTTGGAGCTCAAAGAGTTAATGTTCTATACCAGCGATGGGCACGAGATCTAACGGTTTGAGCAGCAGCTCGCTAAAAAAAAAAAAACAACAACCCCCAGCGTTGCGAACCGTCGCACCCACGCGACACACAGAATGTGCGAGCCGAGAAAATACACTGACAAAAACTTTTTGAGTAGATCAATATCTTCAGCCATTTTTACGTGCATTTATGTCCGCCTAAGAAAAACGACTGCAAAAGAAATCCAAACTTTTTTCTTTAGTGCAGAAGACAACGCTATCCGCACAGTTCCCTTTAAAATTGTTCTTGTTTTTGGGACGATGTGCGAGTTCGGTCGCTTGTGTTTTGTTGTTGCAAACTCGGGATCGCGGGGATGTCCTCGCTACCTGCGCCAAAGGTCAGTGTGGTTGTTTTTGTAAATCTTCACGGTTCGCTGATCGCGAGCACTGCACTTGTGCGTCTGCAATTGTGCGACATGCTGGCGCCTCCGAAAAAAGATAACGGTTTGAGCAGCGTGAGCAAATTGAGTCACGGCGTGCCCATCGCTGTTCTATACAATATTCCTTAAGTTAAAATATAAGCTAGGTCTCGTAGCTGCGCTGCTCGCAGGCAGCAGCAGAGAGACGGCTATGGATATATATTCTTATGTATATAGGAATGTACTTATATACTTTAGCTATGCGCTCATAAGTGGAGGCGCGAGGGAGTATGCATGTGTAGTCCGTTCGATACAAATATACCGACACTAGCACTTTCTGTGTGCGGGCTAAGCCATAGCGATCGGTTCATATTTCGGCCACTTAATGGTTTATGACCGGGACTTTGAAATATGTAAACACTGCAACATTGTGTTACAGTGCGCACCCGTTAAGTTATAATATACAGTGGGTACTCGATATGTGTGCATACTACATCTCCCTCCTTTTGAAAAATAACGTAATATAATGAAGTTATTTTATAATATAATTTATAACTAATACACTTTTAAATATTTTGCTTTTTTTTTGTTTACTATTTTTTTTTTTATTTGTGTATTTTGTAAGTGTATTTATGTGTAGGTATGGATAGGCTGAATGCAAATTACGAAATAAAGATTTTTAACCTATCCTTATGAACTGTTTGTTTCTTATGTTTATCATTGGCTATTACTATATTATCTCTAGCACTTATTTCCGTTACTGTGTACGGACCTGTACATTTAACATCTAACTTATGACCTGTTTCATTTTTTAACAAAACTTGGTCACCTACTGATATATCTATATCGTTTATACTATGATCGTATAATAATTTATTCCTATTCTTACTGGCGTCTAACATAACCCTAGCTCTTTTATAAGCTAATTCTAATCTATACTTAGATTCCTTAGCATAGTCATCTATATTGTAAAATGGTTCTACTCTATCTATGCTATTGAAGTGTTCCGGTAAATTACTTGTTGTACCGAACACTAACTCATATTGACAATAAGTATGTGCCATAGAGGGGGTCGTGTTGAAACAAAAGACGAAATATTGAAGCCATACGTCCCAATCAGTTTTGTCAACCGATATATAGGATCGTATATACTCATTAAATGTTCTGTGGCTTCTTTCTACTGTTCCAACTGTCTGGTGATGATGTGCTGTTGATGTAATGTTCTTCATATTCATATATTTGCACAGATCATCTATAATTGAGTTCTTATACTCTGTTCCCATGTCCGTAATGAACGTCTTCATTGGACCGTACTTCAGAATAAAAGATTCAAATATGGCTTTGGCTACGGTATTAGCATTTTTATTTGGAATCGGTATTGCAACTAAATATTTCGTTAGATCACATATTAATGTGACAGCATACTCGTTACCATTTTCAGATTTTGGCAGTGGTCCAATGGTATCCACTAGCACTCTGTCGAATGCGTGTGTTGGTGTATCTGTGATTGTAAGAGGGGTCTTAGTGTGCTTTGTTATTTTAGATTTCTGGCATTTCGGACATTTCCTTATATACTCTTTTGTCTTTGGACATATTTTTCCAGTAGTAGTGTCTCTGGACCTTGGCCAAGGTTTTTGTAATGCCTGTGTGACCTCCTTGTCACATGATCCAATGATCATCATGGAATGTAGACAAGATTGCTTCTTTTTCTGTATCTTTTGATACTAGGGTCACCGGGTGGAGTAGCGCTACTCTTAATGTCTTCAATATCTTGTTGCCCATTAATTTGAATTTATCTGTTGATATTTCATCAAAGATATTTTCCCACGGTGCCACTTTGAGTTGTATGTTATGTATACCGGCTTGCATTTCAAGCCTTTGGAAAAATTGACGATAACTCCATTAGTTTATAAATCGCTAACCTCATATCTTGCAATAATTTTCTTGCCATGTTTAAATAAACATGACATATCTTTTATATGCAAGGTCACTACTTTACGTACTTCGTCATTGTTTATGACGTCGTAAACGTTGGGCTTAGAAGCTTTTTTCAGAGATTCTTTTTCTTGTTGTTCCGAGCTGAATTTTTGTCTACTTTGAAATCGTGTAGTGACTTTATTTATTGTTCCAGTTATATTTTGTAGTTCTTTGATGGTTATTCTTGATAACGCATCAGCTACATAATTGTCTTTGCCCTTCAGGTATTCTACCGTAAAATCTAATTCCTCCAATTCAAGCCTCATACGTGTCAATTTTGAACTTGGATTTACCATTGAAAACAAATAGGTTAATGGTCTATGATCCGTTTTAATAGTGAAGTGACTGCCATAAATATATGGTCGAAAATGTTTTATAGCCCAGTGAATAGCAGATAATTCCTGCTCAGTAGTACTCTTGTTACTTTCTCCTTTAGTAAAGAATCTTGATGCGTATGCAATTGAAAGTTGGAGTCCGTTATGGTTTTGAGTTAAAACCGCTCCACACGCTTTTTTACTTGCATCAGTTATTATGCAGAATTCTCTTGAAAAATCTAGATATTGTAACAAGGTTGGGTTTATAAGTGCCGTTTTAAGATGATCGAAGGCATTCTGGCATTCCGATGTCCATTCGAATTTTACATATTTTTTGCATAACCTAGTTATGTGACGAGAATAATCGGCAAAATTTTTTATAAAGCGCCTATAGTAATTGCAAAATGCAACGAATCGTCTAGCGCTGTCCGCGTCATGTGGGACTGGATAGTTTTTTATTACGTCATATTTTTTGTCATCAGGCAAGATTCCTTTATCAGTGCATTTATGTCCCAAAAATGTGACTTCATGCATGAAAAATGAACATTTTTCGGGATGTAACTTTAGGTTGTGTTTCCTACATGTCTCAAAAACATCAGTTAGGTTCTTAAGCATGTGTTTTTCGGAACATCCTATGACTATCAAGTCATCCATATAAAGAAATGCTTGTGACGGTTCTAATCCCGAGAAAGCAATAGTCATCATTCTCTGGAATGAATTTGGGGCTATTTTCAAGCCAAATGGTAATCGCGTGAAGTGATACGAGCCATTGCTCGTTGTAAATGACGTTATATCCCTGGAACTTTTTTCAAGTTCAATTTGGTGAAAAGCAGACATTAAGTCTAGGCATGAAAAATATTCAGCTCTACCTAGCTGATCTAGAATATCATCAATTCTAGGTAAAGGGAATTTATCTGACAATAGTTTTTTATTGATTTGACGATAGTCAATTACTAATCGCCATTTCTTCTTGTCAGAGTCCGGGAGAGACTTCTTCGGAACTAATAAGAGTGGGCTATTGTAAGGTGAGACTGATGGTTCGACTATATTGTCGTCTATCAGCTTTTGTACTTGGGCCTGAATTTCTTGCACTTGGCTGTGCGGACTTCTGTAATTTTTGATATATACGGGCTCGTCATCCTTTAATCTAAGCTTTTGTTTATATAAGTTATTTGTTGTTATAGATTCGGTTTCGAGTCCGAATATGTCTGTGTATCTGGTGCATAGATCTTTTAATTGAGATTTGAATAAAGGCGGGAAGTTTTTGGTTAATTTACTCATAACGAATTCATCTCTTCCTTCGTTATTTTCTTTTATTATATCATAATCATTCAAAGTTTCGTATTTAATATTATTTAAGCTTACAATTTTTGTGGCATTCGTTGTATTTATTATACGGACAAAAGTATTATTGTGGTCGGATATCGTGTTTGCGATATAAATTCCTTCATCAATTTCCTGATTTAATATCAGAATTTGATTTTTTGCTGAGGGAATTTGTATTTCTCGGACAACTTCGGAACGTGCAGGGAGTACTGTGGCATTACTTTCACACGAGTGAAGTATTTGCAATTCAATTGGACAATTTAAGTTATCTGGACGAAGAATTAGTGAGTCGCCTCTTTAAGTGAAATCTAGTTGGCAATTGTATTGTTTTATGAAGTCAATACCTAGTATGCCATCGCAAGGTATTGGGAAACTTTGGTCGACTAAGTAAAAGTCGTGTGGGATGATATATTTGCCATTAGTGAGTTCTACACTGGCTAAGCCTGCTGAAGATATTGTTCCTTCGCCTATTCCCGATATTTCGGAGTGTACTTTATCATTGATTATCTCAAATTTATCTATATTATCTTTTAATATAGATATGTCAGCACCAGTATCAAGTAACAGGGTATAACATTTGCGTGCGCTTTCATTTTTTATTTTTATATAAATGCTTAGATTTAGGTTGACTGTTTTTATTGAGCTTGTTGTTTGCTCTAAATATCTGAAGGGTTTTGTTGGTTTTCCGAGTTGGTTTGGGCCAATCGGACATTGTTCTGATTATTACGGTTTGATCCGTTGTTGTTTCCGTTGCGGTTGTTTCCGCCACGGTTGTTTCCTCTATAGTTATTGTTATTGTTGTTGTTATTTCGATTATAACAGTTGTTTTGGTTATTTTGATTATTCTGGTTGTTTTGGTAATGTTGGTAGTGGCCATTGTTTCGGTAATTACCTCGGCCATTACCCCTACCGCGATAATTATTTTTGTAACTATTACCGCGATAGTTACCTCTTTGCGCATATAATATTGTGTTGGCGTTACCCGTCATTTCAGTACTACATTGTATATACTTTGTGACGGCTTCATTCATGTTCGTGAAGTTGCCAGCTTCCAATATTGTCTTAAGACGGCCATGCTCGCAATTTTTGACCATCGCGGCGATGGCTTCCTTTGTACTGAACTTATCAGCATGTTCAGCTGAAAGTCCTTCATCTATATATGAAGCTTCTAGGAGCTTCCGTAAATTGTCGATATCTGTTGTAAACTTCTCGGCAGTTTTGCCTTTCTGGACAGTCTTGGCCATTTTGGCCTTTATTACGTCGGATGTTTCACCGACTATTGTGTCCTGCAGTTTTTTGATTATGTCGGTTATTGTAGTCTCATTTTGAACCCTGTATAATGTGGATCCAACAATTTTAGACTTGATAACCTCTACAGCGATGTGTTCAAATGTCCCTTTATTTAGATTTACTAACTTCAGGGCCGTTATGAATCGTTGGAGATGGAGTTTTTGACCATTGAATTCCGGTATGGCACCAGAAATTTCCCTGATATATGCCCTTTGGGCAATTGCTTCATCGGCCATGGTTACCGTAGTATTTAACTTGTTTTCTTCTGAGGTGTCTGAAGCGTCTGAATCTTCCGATTCCAGATCAGTGTAGGTTGCCGGAATAGTAAGATTATTTAAATCTTCTTCTTCTATTTTCGGGCTTTCTTCAGGTGGTTCCTCAGATTGTTCTTTGTCTGATTTGGGGTTAAGTGCAACGGAAGCTGCTACTGGTACTGTTAATATGGTTGGTATTGATATATCCAAACCGAATTTCTGTCTAACAATTATCAACTGGGATCGGAGGCGTATCACAAGTGTAGATACTTGTTGAAATCCAGCCCAATGCAAAACACGACACGTTTGATTTTATGGTTTTTATATTGTTAATTTAATATAGCTTTTATAGCTCGACTTATCTGTTTCGTTCTCAAATCAAAAAGGGCAGAAAAACTAGAGATGGTAAGCTTATGTAGACATATCGAAACTCAAATATGAGAGAGTGCAACCATGCGATTATTTATCGCACAAGCTATGTTTATTTTGCACATCTCATTTAACAGGGATACTCTTACACACCTCCTCAAAATAAACAGAGATTATACTTTAATATAAACTAAATACAATGATTAAACTTCTATTTTGATAAGTCGAGCACTCTGGGTAGTATTACAAAAATTTGTCCAACATTTGTTGCAAGGGGTTGGGGAAACCCAGAAAAAACCCAACCAGACCAATATAACTTAAATTGAATGTATTACAACATTAACGTAGTAATTATTAATTAAATTAGGAAAATACAAAATATTAACTATTAATTTCTCATATGTGAATAAAGTGAAATAAGCTGTATATAAAAGAAATAAGAAAACAAAAAAATATTCATTATTATTAATTTTTGAATGTATGAATATTATATATATTCAAAGCAAGGAGATTTGTAATATACAAATCCAACTCCACATCAGTTAAGACCCATTTGATCTCTTAGTGCGATGAATCGGGGTCAAGGCAAGGGCTTCGTCAAAATATCTGCCAGTTGGTTTTCTGTAGGAAGATACTCAATAGTTATTAGTTTTTGTTCAACTTGTTCCCTAGAAAAATGGTATTTAATATCAATATGTTTCGTTCTCTTGTGGCATGTGGGATTATTAGCAATGCTTATACAACCTTGGTTGTCCTCGAAAATCTTTATAGGTTTATTACATTGCAATTTTATATTTTGCGCTAAAGACTTCAGCCACATAGCCTCTCTTGTTACCTCAAATAATGCCATATACTCGGCTTCAGTTGATGAAGCTGCAACAGAATTTTTTTTTTTTTAATTCCAGCAGATAAGGCATGAATCGAACATTTTAAATGCATAACCAGTAGTACTCTTTCTATCGTTCTCGCTACCAGCCCAATCTGAATCCACATACCCAGTAAAAACATTTGTGTAATTAACACTTTTTGTAAAACATAAGCTCAAATTGACAGTACCTTTCAGATATCTCATGACCCTTTTAAGACATTGCCATAGTTGCTTATTATTCTTCACTGCATATCTACTTAATATACCAATGGCTGTACTTAAGTCAGGTCGGGTACAGAGCATTTTGTACATCAAACATCCAATGACCTCTCGACATGATGCGTTATAAGTTTCATCTAGATTCAAGGCTTCATAATTTAGTTTATTCGGAAGTGGAGTGCCAACTGGATTACATTCATTCATACCAAATTTATTTAAGACGTTATTAATGTAAGCAGTTTGACTTAATTCAAATTTACCTTCACATCTATTTATTTTTATCCCAATAAAAAATTGGACTTCCCCCAAGTCAGTCATTCTAAGTTTACCTTTTAAATAGTCCTTAAATCTGGACATCGTATCTAAATTTGAGGTGGCTATGACCAGATCATCCACATATAATAACAGATATATATTTATACCCTTGCAGGGTATTATAATTTCAGTCAGAAGTTTGCAACGCAGTGAAGGAGACGTTTCCGACCCTATAAAGTATATATATTCTTGATCAGCATCAACAGCCGAGTCGATCTAGCCATGTCCGTCTGTCCGTCTGTCTGTCTGTCCGTCTGTCCGTCTGTCTGTCTGTCTGTCTGTCTGTCTGTCTGTCTGTTTCTACGCAAACTAGTCCCTCAGTTTTAAAGCTATCTAAATGAAACTTTGCATATAGTCTTCTATGTGCTCTCACTGCTATATATGTCGGAACGGGCCGGATCGGACGACTATATCATATAGCTGCCATACAAATGTTCGATAAATTTTTAGAAAAAAAATTATAACTTGGCTGTTTTTCAATATTTTTGAGATATAGCCATTTATATTATTCCAGAGTTTTGTTAAAAATTTTATGAAAATCGGACGACTATATGATATAGCTGCCATAGGAACGATCGGGAAATTAATAGAAATAAAATTATAGCTTCGTTGTTTTTCAACGCATTTTTATTTACTCTGAGATATAAGTTTTTTTTATTATTCTAGAATTTTGGTATAAATTTCATAAAAATCGGACAACTATATCTTATAGCTGCCATAGAAGCGATCGGTAAATGTATAAAATATATAAAGCTGGGAATGTAAAACTGTAACTGTCAAACTGTAAACATAATAAGTATGGGTAAAATGTAATGAAAATCTGTTTTGTTAGTGTTTTCAGCATTTAAATCTATAAAATAAACACCAAAACCAATCTGCAAGGGTATACAAACTTCGGCGTGCCGAAGTTAGCTTCCTTTCTTGTTTTATTTATGTCTCCTTTATCAAGAAAATAAATGCAATGATCTACAGCACAACTAACAAACCCAGCTGCTGTTACTATTTTCTCAAACGTATTATACCAACATCTGGCAGCTTGTTTAAGACCGTAAATTGATTTATTTAATTTACAGACTTTGTTGTTTTTACAATCTAGACCTTGGGGAAGGGACATATAAATTTCATCTTCTAAATGTCCATTTAAAAACGCTGTCTTTACATCCATTTGGTGTATCTTAAGATCGTATTGATTTGATAAGGCTAAAATAAAGCGGAAACTAGTTATCTTTGCTACTGGTGCAAAGGTTTCGTCATAATCAATCAAATATTGTTGTGAGTAACCACAAGCAACCAGTCTAGCTTTATATTTGATAGGGTTACCCGACTCATCTTTCTTTATTGTAAAAACCCATCTACAGTTTATAATGTTTTTATTATTAGGTTTCTCAACAAGAGTCCAAGTTTCATTAATAAAATGAGCATCTAACTCTTCTTTAATCGCTTGTTCCCATTTTAGCCTGTCGTCTCTATCTTTTAAGTCATTGTAAGTATTGGGTATGTCATTAAAAATAGTTTGAGAATATAGCAAACAATTATTCAAAAGCTTATAAGGTACTAGTGGCTTATCTTTTATTCTTTCGCTTCTGCGAATTTCAAAGTTTTGTTGTTTTTTCTTATTTTTATTTTGGTCTTCAATATCCGTACTATCATTCGGGCTATTTTGATCAACATTTTCCATACTTTCTTTCTGGACTACCAAATCCGTACTCTCATTCGGGATATATCGGTTAACACTTTCCATAATTTTATTTTGGAAAGACTTTTCGTTAACAATACTTTTCTTCTGAAAATTACTTTCATTATCTATACTTTTGTTCTGGAAAGAACTTTTATTATCCATACTCTCATTCTGGATACCACATTCATTATCCATACTCTCATTCTGGATACAACATTCATTATCCATACTCTCATTCTGGATACAACATTCATTATCCATACTATCATTCTGGATACAACATTCATTATCCATACTCTCATTCTGGATACAACATTCATTATCCATACTATCATTCTGGATACAACATTCATTATCCATACTATCATTCTGGATAACTGAACCATCAGCCCTAGACTCTATCATATTCATCTCTAGCAACAACAAATTTTCTGTCTCTCAGAGACCACAACTTGAACCCATTCGGTTCATAGCCGATCAGAATACTTTTAATTGATTTTTCATCAAATTTCCTTTTTCTTGTTTTGTTATGGATGTATACTGTAGAGCCGAACACTTTTAAATACTTTAAAATTGGTTTTCTATTATGCCACAATTCGTAAGGGGTTTTTGTCTCGTCAGCCAACGCATTAGTTGGGCTTCTATAAATTAGGTAAGTAGCCGTTAGTACAGCTTCACCCCAAAAATATTTTTTCCAATTTTGATCCACTTATCATGGATCGAGCCTTTTCTGTTATAGTCCTGATCATACGTTCGGCCACACCATTTAACTGTGGCGTATGCGGAACGGTTAAATGATAACTAATTCCCTTTTCTACACAATAACTACGCATTTCATTTGAAAGATATTCCCTACCATTATCAATATATAAATTTACGATTTTAAGGTTGAAATGATTTTCACTTTTTGCAACAAAATCCTTAAAAAAATAAAACACATCAGATTTATGTGACATTAAATATGTAACAGAATAATGAGTAAACTGATCAATAAATACAACATAATAGTTTTTACCATCTATTGTTGCTGGTGTAATTGGACCCAGGGCCGGATTTCTGTAAAATGCCGCCCTGGGCGCTGTATAAAATGCCGCCTTTATTATTTATTTCAAATTATACCTAAATATAGTGTCAATGAAATCGTTAGGTATACTATTAGCAGATGAAATTGATTCAATACGTTCATTTTCAAGTCATTTATTGTTTCATAGTAAGGGAATAATTAATTACATGAGGCTTTTTTACAAGGAAATAAAACTTGAAGTCAACATACAAGATAATTATAAATGTTTATAATCGTTTTCGTTAAATTTACAAGAGTGCACCCTATTATTTAATTATTACAGAGTTAGGTAAATTTAATTATTCGTTTAGAAAAATCCTCAATTTATTAAGGCAAAGTGTGGTAATTTTGTTTTGCATTGTTTAACCGTCGTCAAGATCCACTATCCAAAAAGGAAATAAAATTGTCTGATAATGAAAATTTTAAATTCAATGAAAAAATTACAATAGACTTAATGCGTACAATTTTCA